TAAGGGGCATATGATCTCCATGTATAATACATAAGGGGGGATGTGATCACCATGTATAATACATAAGGGGGGGGGATATGATCTCCATGTATAATACATAAGGGGGGATATGATCACCATGTATAATACATAAGGGGGGATATGATCACCATGTATAATACATAAGGGGGGGGGGGATATGATCTCCATGTATAATACATAAGGGGGGATATGATCTCCATGTATAATACATAAGGGGGGATATGATCTCCATGTATAATACATAAGGGGGGGGGATATGATCTCCATGTATAATACATAAGGGGGGATATGATCTCCATGTATAATACATAAGGGGGGATATGATCTCCATGTATAATACATAAGGGGGATATGATCACCATGTATAATACATAAGGGGGGATATGATCTCCATGTATAATACATAAGGGGGGATATGATCTCCATGTATAATACATAAGGGGGGATATGATCTCCATGTATAATACATAAGGGGATATGATCTCCATGTATAATACATAAGGGGGATATGATCTCCATGTATAATACATAAGGGGGGATATGATCACCATGTATAATACATAAGGGGGGATATGATCACCATGTATAATACATAAGGAGGGGATATGATCACCATGTATAATACATAAGGGGGGATATGATCTCCATGTATAATACATAAGGGGGATATGATCTCCATGTATAATACATAAAGGGGGGATATGATCACCATGTATAATACATAAGGAGGGGATATGATCTCCATGTATAATACATAAGGGGGGATATGATCTCCATGTAGAATACATAAGGGGGGATATGATCTCCATGTAGAATACATAAGGGGGGATATGATCTCCATGTATAATACATAAGGGGGGATATGATCTCCATGTAGAATACATAAGGGGGGATATGATCTCCATGTATAATACATAAGGGGGGGATATGATCTCCATGTATAATACATAAGGGGGGATATGATCTCCATGTATAATACATAAGGGGGGATATGATCTCCATGTATAATACATAAGGGGGGATATGATCTCCATCTATAATACATAAGGGGGGATATGATCTCCATGTATAATACATAAGGGGGGATATGATCTCCATGTATAATACATAAGGGGGGATATGATCTCCATGTATAATACATAAGGGGGGATATGATCTCCATGTATAATACATAAGGGGGATATGATCTCCATGTATAATACATAAGGGGGGATATGATCACCATGTATAATACATAAGGGGGATATGATCTCCATGTATAAATACATCAGTGGTTCATATAGTGAACTCGGTGTAGAGTTATTCACCCTGAGGCCATCACAGAGGACAAGGGGGGCACTCTTTACATCTGCAGGAAAAGAAATTTAATCTCCAAACATGGAAAGGTTTCTTCACAGTGAGAGCTGTGAAAATGTGGAATAGACTCTCTCAAGAGTTGGTTCTGGCCAGCTCAGTGGATTGCTTCAAAAAAGTCCTGGATTCTTTCCTAGATACACAGAATATAACTGGATACTAACATTTATAGGTAAAGTTGATCCAGGGAATATCCGATTGCCTCTCTGGGGATCAGGAAGGGATTTTTTTTCCCAGCAGGAGCAAATTGGATCATGCTTTGCTGGATTTTTTTTTGCCTTCCGCTGGATTAACTGTGGGTATAGGATTATAACTTTTTTTTTTTTTTATGGTCGAGCTGGATGGACTTTTGTCTTTTTTCAGCCAGACTAACTATGTAACTATATCAATTTGGATTTTTAATGAAAACATTTCTTGGTTCATACAGATGCAGTTATAAGAAAACACACAAGACAAGAAAGGCCTAGAGAGTGAACCGGAGGATAAAAAGAAGGTTGCTGTCTTTTGCAGACTCCTACTTGTTGGTCCAAGATCTGGTGCTTTCGTCCTGCAGCTTCTTGGCTCTGTGCTTACATCCTATTTTACTGTGAAAAGCTGTTCCATGCTGCTACCATGAGAGGGCGCTCTATTAGTGCGTGAATGAACAGCATGTCTTCTGGGAATTAATTCTTCACAGTAAAGTGGGGTGTAAATGCATCTCTAAAAGTCTTAAGGCCAGGCTGCTTGAAAATGGATTTCTCATAGCGGTAACTAAACATACTGGCATTTCCTTTGAGGCTGCAGGGAACAGTAAAAAAATGAATTGCACTTCTATTTTAACAGCCTCCTTGTTTTTAAAATACTGTTTCTAAATTAGAACAGAGAATTTCTTTTCAGGCTAAGTGAATGTGTTTTATATCCAGCACTTTTCAATGTGGAATGATAATTGCCCTGGCCATTCTTTCCTAGCACTCCTAATAAGTAATTAGTGTTCTTAATGGCATTCTTAATCTCTCCCAGTCTGTGTAGAAATGCGCTAATTAATTTCATTAGTTGCAGTGCAGCTTGTAGAAAATATTATGTTACTAATTGCAGGCCAAGCACGGTGTGATGTCATCTGGAATAACATCTCTCGTTATTAATTCCTGCTCTTTGCACCGAGGCAGAAAGTAAAACACGTACTTATACCACTGAGGGGCTGGTAACGCTGCATTTTCCATAAGCCTGATGTATTAAATAATGTTCTCTATGGAGAAACAATTATAAGCAGGGCGATGATTAATCACGTCAGACCCCCCCAGAGTTAGAAGAAGCTGTTGTGCAATACGGAGAAAGCACACTGAGGTTTTCGGGAATTTGGATTATTTCCCGAGTTACAAATCACAGAATTCCATCGTCAAAGTATACACTATTCTTCACTGTACATCGCTCAGCACCAAGGAAGGTCCCAAACTGTGCATGGCATACGGTGGTGTAGTGGTTACGACTTAAGCCTTGCAGCACTGGGGTTCTCAATTCAATTCCTTACCTGGGCACTATCTGCATGGAGTTTGCATGTCCTCCCTTTGCTTCCGTTGATTTCCTTAGGGTTCTCTGGATTCCCCTTACACTCCAAAGAAGCAATTATAAGCTGGTTGGTCATTGATCACATCAGACCCCAGTTGGTTGGTAAATTATTTGACTCTAGTCTAATCTGGCCTTAGTATGTGTATGCATGCATGTAAGAGAGAGACCTTTAGATTGTAAACTCCTTGAGGGCAGGAACTAGGGTTGCCACCTCATCCCTTTAAAACCCGAACACATATTAATGACACAGGTTCTGAGGCTAATTTATTGCAGGGAAGGGACTATGTAAGTTTAATTACCACCTTAATCAGCCAATAATATGTGTTCGGTTTTAAAGGGATGAGGTGGCAACCATAGCAGGGGCTGATGTGCAATATACAACGCTCTTTGTAAATTGTTGGCGCTATATAAATACCTGTAATAAATAAAGTGTGCCTAGATCTTGCACACTAGTTACATATGCTGAACACGTGTTAAATGCACTTTAAAACAAGCTTTCATTTATATCTGTATCTATAAACATTGTGGATAAATTTGTCTTTGTCGGCATCTTTGAGAAGGAATAACTTCACATTATATGCAGCCAGAGGGATGGTACGTTGTAAAGCTTTTTTACTACTTTTTAAGAAAATATAAATAGTTTAAAGGCCATAGTCCAAGAAAGACTTTAAAGAGACACAGTCAACTTTCCTATGCAGTGCAAATTGACAGTGTCTGTCTCAGCAAGGTCCTTCCTGGCCTCCCACCACTTACACTAGCTTTGCCTGAGCTCCTTCGCTGCTGCATCCTCCATTGCAAACGATGCTAAAATAAAGATGTCATGGACCTCAGAGAGCAATGGCATCAATCCTAGTCATGTGACATTGAACAGGCCAAGCAATTGACTGCTAGGCCCAAGCACTGTCACAAGGAAGGCTTTGACACTCCTGTATGCATGGTGTCGCACCCCGCACCCTTCTAGATAGGATGCTAGTTAGGTTAAGGAATTTTTTATTTTTATTTTTTTAACAGTCTACGGTTTATTGTATTTTCAACAGGTGTGGCAGTGCCCTGTACATCATAGAATTATGGCTGGAAAGTCTTGCAGGGCCTTGTACATCACCAGATTATGGCTGGGAAGTCTGGCAGGGCCCTGTACATCACCAGATTATGGCTGGGAAGTCTGGCAGGGCCCTGTACATCACAGATTATGGCTGGGAGGTCTGGCAGGGCCCTGTACATCACCAGATTATGGCTGGGAGGTCTGGCAGGGCCCTGTACATCACCAGATTATGGCTGGGAGGTCTGGCAGGGCCCTGTACATCACCAGATTATGGCTGGGAGGTCTGGCAGGGCCCTGTACATCACCAGATTATGGCTGGGAGGTCTGGCAGGGCCCTGTATATCATACAATTATGGCTGGGAAGTCTGGCAGGGCCCTATACATCACAGATTATGGCTCTTAAGTGGGCTGTATGTGTATGCAGACTGCCCTGGGTGACACTCACATGTGCTGCTAACCTTACATGAAAGAACTAAAATCCAATTATTGAAAAGGATGGGCCAGGAACAGTCCAGCAGAGGAGGAAAAGGCTAGATGAAGCTACTGTACATGTCCTCCGGCCAGGTGGTGAGGCGAGCTCTATCTGACTTGCTTCAGCTTCTAATGCACATTGTGAGAAGAGTATCCAGTGGCAAGCTGCTTCCTATGGGTCAGGGGGCCGGTGGCGAAATACATCGGGAGGAGTCTGTGACGTCATTACGCTGGACAGGAAATGAGTTCCTGAGTTCTCGGTATAATCCGATGCTGATATTTAGAAGGTCTTAAGGGAGAAAAGCACCTTATTCTACACAGGTTTGTTATCTATAGAGTAAGCAGTTTCAGTACAGTGGAGGAGCCTATACAACTGTGCAAGACTGAAGGTGAAGTTGGAGTTTAGCTTTAAAAACAGACAATGAATGCAAACACCACAAAGGGAAGAAAAGAGTAATAATGATGCCCCTATAAATCACTGACTCTGTGCTTGTTTCTCTGTTTTTTGTGGCTGTAAAAAGACTCTTTGGAGCTTTAAGAATGAAGTTATAGGGAAAATAAAACATACCTTTAAAGATCCTTTTGATGAAGAGAGGCCGGTCTCCGTATATAGAAGCCTTCCCACCATCCAGACTGAAGCCCAGCCCGGCAGATGTCTTGTGAAGTTCCACGCACATGGCGTCCCGCAAATCCAAGTGTGCTGCAACAAACCATGAACATGTCATTAGGGGCCATTGTGTGCCGCCACCACTGTCTGCCACGCCTCCTGTAAAACACCTTTAGAAGACATTTTATGGCCTCCTCTAATTATAGAGTGGAAGCATAATCTACATTTGGTTTTATTACTGTGTCTGAGATGAGGAGGCAGCTTCCCGACAATGAACAGATATGATACATTCATACATGGAGCTGGACAATGACAGATATATCCATGACAACACTACCTGCATATTGGGAAGTCATTGTTCATTCATTTCTGGGGATTTCCTTGAACCAAAACTTTCAGGGACAAATCCTCGAAACCTGGAGTGGTATAATATCTAATGTCACCTTGTATGAAGGAAACCTAAGAAATATGTAAGCTGGCTCTGCCCATCTCTCCTTTTGCTTTGCCCTCATGTTGATCCTATGGCTTCAATACTCTGACCTAGAATATATTGATGTCAGAGACAACCAAACAAGTAGCAGTTGGGGGGAGGGGAGAAATCATGGAACCGTACATATTTATAAAAGACAAGTATTCTTTAAAATGTTTTTTAAGGTACTGATTTTTTACGATCTATGAATTTATTCATCTTAAAGATGAATTCTAGGTATGGCATTCAGAGCAATGCAAGTTTGTGCCATACATGTGGGATCCCTTCAGAAGCTGGAAATCACTGTAGTAGACACTGCTACAACCATGATCACCACTAGCTTCCAGGTCCCCTAACAAGCGCCTGTTTCTGCTGCATTGGGAACACAGGAGGTGGTTCGGCATGGGTACCATTCAGAGATCGATTGGCATTTTCTTAATGAATGCAGAGCATTCTCTGATTAAAACAAGGCCGAGAGGCACGGTGGTGACATCACTATCTCCACCTCGTCCAATCAGAGAACACTTTGCAAATATTGAGATAATATAAAGTATGGCACGCATGCTGAGCGAGTGACCTCCTCTATTCCAGTAAGTAGTGTAACCGCTTCTCACGGGACTCAGGAGTTAGTAGCAATCACAGTAGTAGTGGTGCCTACAATAGTGGCCCAAGCTGGACCAGTATAGAAAGAAGAACTTGTTAGTGCTACCAGAGAAAGGTGCCTTCAAAACCGGGGGTCAGCAACTCGTGATCTTCCAGTGGATCGTGGCCAGGTGACTGGTAGATCGCACCCTCAGCTTGTCGACCTGCCCTCTGCAGGACCTCAAACACAATGGAGCCCTATAAGAAGCAATGGGGCTATTTTCCTTTTTTTTTTTTACTTGGAGTGAGGCCAGCCATAGAGAGAGCAGGCGGCCACATCAGCCTATACAGGTTCTGTAGTTTCAGCTGCAATCTTCAGCCAAGTGGACTCCACCTCTCTCCCTGCTTAGCAGAACCACAAGAGCACCAGCAGAACCTGTTGCAAGAGACATTGAACTGCGATTTGTGCCCATTGACAGTGGACTCCTCTCCTGTATTACCTTGTTCAAGTCAGTGTGAAGCCCACAAACAATACTGAACCAGTGCCCTCAATAACAGACAAGCCACTATTATGCAGCAGGAACTGTACGCCCTGTGATGTTTGGCAAGTATAGCGCCAGGGTGGATAAAAATCAATTATTTTTTTTAAAAAATCAAAAAAATCGGATTTTTTCAAATTTAAATCGGATTTTTTTGTGGAAAATATATTACCATCCAAAGGTTATTCCATCATGAAATAAAGGTTAGTTTTTTAATTATGTAGAATAAGGCTGTATATGTTTAATTTTTTTGGTAAATAAATGCCATGAATCCATTCACAATGTCATGCTCTTCCAGAGGTTTTTGTAAGATTATTGGGCAGTTTCTCTGCCTACAAGATATTATCACAGATGCTCGGTTTACTTTTGCAGTTCTCAAAACTGAATTTGACTCAGCGGAGATCACATGCCTCTTCTTCACAGCAAAAATGTTATAACATGAACAGAGTTAAGAAAAAGACCTTAATCCTAACTTCTACAAACCTATGAATACAGAATCAACCCCTTCAGTGCTAAGTTTCAAGAAGTTCAGTGAATAGAATAGAAACAATATTTTTCTGATTGTTTGGAGTGGAATAGATCTGCACAAGAAGAAAGTGAAACTAAGTGTGAGAGGAAGGGGCTGACAGTCTAAGTTTCTTAAAATATATATATTTTGTTTAGCCAAATTAGTAACAAACATGGATGTTTAAGCAAATAACATATGCTGGAATGTTATTGTTTCAGTTGAATAAATCTATTTAAATTGTTATTATTAAGGTAATGATTATTTTTCTCCTTCCTAAGTACAACAGAAAAGTTGTCCAAATATGAATGATTAACCTATTAAACTGGGGATAAAAAAACTAATATGAAAAGTTGTTATTCTAAAAATCTTCATCTACTTGCATATTAAAGTTATACCAGCAAGAATTAGTCTTTATGTAGAAAACTAGGATTTAAATCAAGCCTTACTGACTAGTCATTTAAATCGTGATTTAAATCACTTTGATTTAAATCAAATCCACCCTGTGTAGTGCCCACCAAGTGTGACCTATTCAAGTGAATTGGGCTGCTCTGTATATGCCCTGCAACCTAGTACAGTACAACAACCAAGGGGTTAAAGCGGGTGGTAAGGAGGTGTCGCATCGCTTCCTCACTATCTGTTTTAACTCCCTGGACCCTGCGCTAGCATGCTGCAACTGAAAAAGGTTGCGAAGCGCTTGCAGAGTGGCCCCATTCACTTATATAAGTCAAAAATGTGACGGGGGTACAAGTCCTGCCATGGCGTGTGTACACCCTCTGCAGTTAGACAAGGTAGGGACTGGGGAATTTAAAACCACAGTTCAATTGTAGGGTTTTACCCCCCCCCCCCCAGCCTCATGTGTGAACAAGTGCAAAAGGCACTGCTGCTCCACCCTGAAATGCTATCCAAGCGTGTTTGACTGGTGAGGATGCAACATGTATAATTGCCGTGCAATGCACGCAATTGCGGTGTGGTTGTACGGCAATTATAGGATTAATTCAGGCAGTGAGGAAGTGACATTGGGCAACACTGTGCCTAGTGATCTTTGATTTCTCCCAGGTTGTTCAAGTAGATCTCCACCCCTCTAATGCCCCGTACACACGATAAGAAAATCGTATAAAACATTTTGCGGAACCACTGATCGAACGATTTTCTCTTTGTTGATGAGCAGGATGTTTTAACTGATAACAATATTGTGAGCGAAAAAATCTGGTTGAACAACAGTGAAAAATGTTGTCGTTTTGCATACGAACGACCGATTTTCTATGCGGTGGTATGACGGTCGTACGAAAAAAAATCTATCAAGCGCTATCACACATGAGCGGAAACAGAAGACGACCCGGATGTTTATGTCCAAGGAATCTTCGTAAACACGAAAAAGCCAATTGTTAAAAGTAGATTGGCCTAATGAGATAATGAAACCAGAATTCTGCAGATTATATTTTATGTATCACTATTTATGTATATAGGTCATGTAATAAACGATATTATACTCATTGCTGGTAATTGTTGTGTATATCGCTCGTTCTGGCCGGAAGGGCGTGGCTACAAGGTCACACGCACACCGCATCACTTCATACAGAAGACGTCAACACTACGTACTGCCCGACGAACATTTTTTTAGATTAGTTAATGTGGGCCACGATTTAAACCAACGAACGGATGCCTCTCGGTTGTCAGATGATCGATCGGTCGATTTTATTCCCACCGTTAGGCTGCCTCCCCCTTCTCAAAACCAATCCAGATGGATGGTACCAAAATCTGCTTCTCTCCTGTCTCACCCGAACAGGGTAGAAAGTACCAATGATGAGAAATTTATGAGAAGTTTACTGGATAATACAGATAGTGTGTGTGTGTAGCCATATTAGTATATATCTGTATTAGTGTGTAGCTGTAGAAAGCTTCCCGCACATGACTGCAAAGTCCAACATATTGGTATACAGTGCAAAATACGTCTGTTGGAGCCACAGTTCAGTGTATTTTAACCCATAGGACTGAACTACAGGGAAAGTCATGTGCACATAACCAGCATCACGGATGTGTACACACATATGGGTGTTTTGTTTTTTTTAAATGTATTAGTGTGTAGCCATATGTTAGTACATACACTCACCGGCCTCTTTATTAGGCACGCCTGTTCAATTGCTTGGTAAGACAAATTGCCAATCAGCCAACAACATGGCAGCAACACAATGCATTTAGGCATCTAGGTGTGGTGAAGAAAACTGGCTGAAGTTCAAACCGAGCATGAGAAAGGGGAGGAAAGGGGATTTAAGTGACTTTGAAAGTGGCATGGTTGTTGGTGCCAGACAGGCTGGTCTGAGTATTTCAAAAACTGGTGACCTACTGGGATTTTCACGAACAACCATCTCTAGGGTTTACAGAGAATGGTCCGAAAAAAGAGAAAATATAAAGTGAGCTGCAGTTGTGTGGACAAAAATGCCTTGTTGATGTCAGAGGTCAGAGGAGAATGGGCAGACTGGTTCGAGATAATAAAAGGGCAATAGTAACTCAAATAACCACTCATTACAACCAAGGTATGCAGAATACCATCTCTGAAGGCACATGTCAAACCTTGAAACAGATGGGCTACAGCAGCAGAAGATCACACTCCTGTCAACTAAGAACAGGAAACGGAGGCTACAAATCACACAGAATTGAACAATAGAAGATTGAAAAAATTTTGCCTGGTCTAAGGAGTCTCGATTTCAGCTGCAATATTCAGATGATAGGGACAGAATGAAGTGTACACAAAATGAAAGCATGGATCGATCCTGCCTTGTATCAACAGTTCAGGCTGGTGGTGTCATGGTGTGGGGGATATTTTCTCAGCACACTTTGGGCCCCTTAGCACCAACTGAGCATCGTTTAAACCCCACAGCCTACCTGAGTATTGTTGCTGACCATGTCTATCCCTTTATGACTCCAGTGTCCCCATCTTCTGATGGCTCCTTCCAGCAGGATAATGCACCGTGTCACAAAACTCAAATCATCTCAA